TGTGCCCCTATAGCCAGTGTGTGCTCCTATAGCCAATGTGTGACCCTATAGCCAGTGTGTGCCCCTACAGCCAATGTGTGACCCTACAGCCAGTGTGTGACCCTATAGTGTGACCGTATAAACATCGCCATCAACGCAGCACGGCAGAGCGAGCCGCGCGGGGCTGTCAGCTGCCGCACTGACCCCGGCACTCCGCGTCGGCGCATATCTTGTGGTCGGAGAGCGGCTCGCGGTCCACGGCCGAGCTCTGGCACGGGGAGAGTAGCGGCAGCAGCAGCGGAGGCAGCAGCAGCAGCGGCAGGAGGATGAGGCCCGTGCGGGCAGGCAGCCGGCTCGCCATCACGTGCGTGACGTCATCGGGACGACCCCCTCCGCGTGACGTCATCGGGACGGAATCGATCCGCGTGACGTCATCTGAAACTGTCCGTCCGTGTGACGTCATCGAGCCTTTACGTGTGAGGTCACCGCAACGGCCCTTCTGAATGACGTCATCGGTACTGAGGTTTTTACGTGACGTCACCGAAACGGACGCTCCAGTGAACGTCATCGGGACGGAATCGCTCCGCGTGACGTCATCTGAAACTGCCCGTCCGTGTGACGTCATCGGACGGAACCATTGCGTGAGGTCACCGCAACAGCCCTTCTGAGTGACGTCATCGGTACTGAGGTTTTTTTACGTGACGTCACCGTAACGGACGCTCCAGTGAACGTCATCGGGACGGGAGGCTTTACGTGACGTCATCTGTACGGCCGCTTCGAGTGACGTCATCGGGAGGGAGGGTTCCGCGTGACGTCACCCGCACGCGGAGCAGCGACTGCCTCCAGCATGGCTCCGTCTTGAGCACGGAGCTCCGAGTCGTGTCCGAGTCGTGGGAGGGAGGGAGGCTTGCGCCACCGATATTGTCCATAAGAGAGTTTTGGGGTTAGATCGCGTAAATAAAAGTGCGTCGTTAAACCCGCCACCACCCCGACACACTGCCAATTAGTAATTGTTTTGGCACGTAAATAAAGCATGACAATTCGTTACTCGTACAGCACGAGCAATTACAATTGGAGTCCAATTCGATATTAGTCAGTGGTTATAGGGTCACAGTTCGAGTGTTGTAAATGTTGTGGGTTTACTCTCCTAAACAGCGGTGTGCTGTGCTGGTAACGAATTGGCACGTTTTGTTTCCGTGGCAAACATCACTAAGGAGCCGTCCATAAATGACGTCACGCGATTTTGGACGAATTTTGAGCCCCCCCCTTCGTCGTACGACGTCACAACGAGTCAGACCCCCCCCCCCTCAAATATGACGTCACAAAGCTCTGCCCCCCCCCCCCCCCCCAAATATAAAACATGCTTCAAATCGCTTTAAACTATTGTCATTGTAGTGCGTATTTAACGTGGCGCTGCACTGATGTAGGAGAAAACATTGATTAAAAAGTCTATTTAATTAAATAGAACGTGTTGTGTATATTTATTTAAAGTTGCGCATTTTTGATGTGACGTCACATTTCTCAACCCCCCCCCCCCCCCATCGTCACAAATGTCTGACCCCCCCCCCCCATCAGGTGCGTGACGTCATTTATGGACGGCCCCTAACTGGCAGTGTTGGGTGGTGGCGGGTTTAACGACACATTTATATTTACGCGATCTAACCGAAAAAAAAACTGCTCTATTATCGCTCCCTCTTTGTTGAACTTCGGTGGTGGACCAGGGGTCAGAGAATCCTGCGGCTGCGAATCCGCATCCGTATCTTTTAAGGACCGCTTGGTGACCTTAATTATTAAGGACCGTCTCTCACATTCCACAAGTATTGCGGCTCTTGAAATATTGAGTGGTTAAATCGAATTTGAACAAGTATAACCCGTAAAAACAAAGTTTTACACTATAAATCCTTTATATGCGTGGCGGCTAAGAGTCCTCTCGTCCTCTGGCTTGAGATGGCTGTCACCTATGGGTCAGATGATTGCATGGCAGCATTAAGCAATTGGTAATTAAATATATTTTTGTCCTAAAAAGTGTAAGATTTTGGAAAAAAATGTTCACGAACATTAATTGTCACGCACAACGAGTCTGTGTGGAAAATGTCAGCTCGATTGGATCACGGGAAGTGGGTTAAAAAACGACCGAAAGATTTGCACGGTCCTAAGCAAGCAAGCAAGTGAACTTAATATAAAGGATTTAAAAATGTCTCATCTTGTTATCTTGGTTTGCCGACCCCCTGGCGTGAACGGACGTCTCTCCCTGGGGTCACTGAGCACCGTTTCTGGCGAATGTCAAGACACCAACATATTGGGGTCATTCTAAAGGTGAAAATCGGGTCGCGTGTCTCAACTGTTAAAAAGGGGTTTCATAACTCATAGGATTTCTCCAATATAAACACATTCTGAAGGGAAAAAAATATTCCCATTGTTCGGATGTTCAGACGTACATTATCCGAGTAAATAAGCCGTAGGGATTTACGGCTCAAGTGTATGCCAGCAGACATACACTTGACCTTACCGAAACCCCCAAAGAATACGTTACAAATCAATCAATATGATAAAAAAAAGTTATGATAATACGATATTAACAATTATGTACATTCACACATGTGGTGTTTCGATCTCGATAACATCTGTTGCTATTATCGGGGTAATCGGCACTCACCACTCTGTGGGCTGGTAGCTCCCCCTTCTCGTCAACAGGGGGCGGAAGCGCCATCACGCCAGGGCTCATGACCATGGCCCAAAAGGGGGCAACGACAATCCCTAGGAAACGGATCCTGGGACACATTCCCCGGGACCCCGGGAGGGGGGACCGGGGGATGATGTCACCTTCCAGAAAGTTCTGGAAGGGAGGCGTGGCTAGGGTGGAGCAAGCCACGAACTAGTATATAAGCCGGACCTCTTAAGGGTCTGGGTCAGTCATCTCCAAGCTGAAGAACAAAAACATGGGCTGAAGCTAGGACCCTGGACCCCAAGTTCCGTTGTCCTTCTAAGGGCCGGAGCTCAGTGAGGCCAGTGGTCAGGGCCCACGGACCGGGTACGGTCGGGTCAGCATCGCCTCCCCGAGGTCCCCAACCGGAGGATGAAGGTTAAAGGAGTTCCCAGTGATAGGGCCCGTGTAGTCCGGAGGCCATACCTCCCCAGGTATTGGGTAAAGGGGCCGATATACCCCTTTGTGTTAGGGACCTTGTAGGAAAAGCCAATAAATATCGTGTTGCCTCACCAGAAGTTCTTCGTCAATTTATACCCACTACACTATTAACGGCGGTGAATGTAGCGGCCCTGCGAGTAACACCGTAAATAATAATAGTACCGTAATAATCTATGACACGCAGTTCGATGAATGTTTAGAAATTCCCAAAAGTATTGTTGGTAGGTGTGTTGTTACATACTTATTAACGCAGTAGAGGGTATTGGTGTAAAATAAGCAATGACTCAGAGAATATGGTTAGAGTGTATTGATATAAAATAAGCAATGATTAGTAACAAAGTAGTCTGCACTGGAAATTGATGAGACAGCCAATTTATGACTGAAAGGCGGGCCTCCATTATGCGGGATGAGCGCATTACTGCAAATAAATTATGCATAATTACAGTACTCTGATTAAATTGCATCTACAGAGTGCATAACACGCTTAAATAAGACGCAATAACAAGTGAATATATTTGCAGTTTAGAATGGCATATATCAAGCAGAAACAAATATGCCAGTTTAGTATGCATATAAAAAAATTGTATTACAAATGTAGTTTCATACTATAATTTGAGAAATCAACACTGAAGCTGACGTAGAAGGTTTGTTATTAAACCCAAGGTTTTTATTTTGCCATTTTAAAATGTCAAAAAATTTAGAGACCTTGCAAAGCACGTGGATGAGTGCAGTGGCGCTCAGCAAGAACTACTGTGCCTAGGTTTCAGTCCCGATTCTAGTGCTTTTCTATGTGGAGTTTGTATGCTCTCCCCCTGTTCTGCATGGGCTTCCCCTAGGTTCCCTGGTTTCCTCCCATAACTAAAAGAACACAATGGTACTGGACATCCTGGAACATTACTTGCAAATAACTTAATTGCCATTACACATGGAAACTTTGCCCCTATTGTAAGTTGGCACAGGGCTCTCCGGAAAACTCAAGACAACAACATTCCTCAGTAAAGAAGTAAAACAAAATGTAAACAGGCAAGTAGTATCTAGCTTTAAAATTGCGAGTGCAGGTAAAAACGAAGGCTTCTGCATGTAACTTAACTAGCGTGTAAATTGTGTTCCAATTGTGGTTTTAGTTATTTTGTATGTACATTATTTGAATCCCTAAGCATTCCATACTGATGTGCTTTTTACATATGCGCAATGGTTGTTTTTACGTATGTTGGTATCTTGTTTTAAAGTTCTAGCTATCCCAGAATTCTATCCTCGAGAAGTGTTACCGTGCCCGTAATATATATCTTAAAGCTTTTTGCACGACATGTATTAACATCGATGACAGTTCCCTTGTTGTTTTGCCCAACAAAATAATGTGAAAGCGAATCAAGAAGACGATGCATGACAACGAACGTGAGGGGAATGGAATGCTACTACAGATGGAAGAAGCTAGAAGCGTGGTGATGAAACATCGACGGACGATCCCTCTCGATACCCCCCACAGCTGGGTATATATCTCTGCAAGGGTTGATTTCAGAGCATCGATCTGGAACCTCTGAGATTAGGGGTCACACCCTGGGTGAGAATGAGATAAACTGGCCTCGATTCCATGAGGTTAACATTATCTAATGAGCAGCCAGCACGTATTATAGAAGCCATTGACACAGAATCATATATTGGCATTGGGAAAGATGCAGTTTGATGCAATGCATGTCTTCTGAAATGCATGTGCATTACTTATGCCAACCACTATGCAGTGATCATGCCCACTTGTGCATTTCCCGCTTGTCTTTCACAGACTTTTACCCTTCCAGTTCGCAATAAGCAAACCCGAGTTGACCATGACCCCCCCCCCCCCTCCCAAGCTTCATGGTGGATGATCAGGCACAGGATTTCGGGAGTCTCCCAGTCCTTCCGATTCCCAAGATCATTCAGAAACTTAATTCAAAGGCAGCACAATCAGAAGGTACCCCTTGAGGTCTTGGACGCCAGTACCAGTAGATATCAAGGTACTGAACTGTATCCCTCTGATGATGTGGTCTCCATCATGTATTTGGGGAGCAGAGGTGTTTTACCCCGAGAATGTTCTCTCACATGTGGAGGCATGGGATAGGGGAGATAAACATAGGCAGCGGTTGGTCCTAAATGTTTTAAATATATTTAAGGATAGCCTGAGGGTAGTGCCCAGTACATTGATTCATCCGTTTTTATCTTACATTTACACCGGCTTTTTTGTTGTTTTTGTTTGCATCTTTCTCTAGTTGTGCCCTTTGAGTATGCTGTGCATTGGAATTTCTATAACATTTTTGCTGTGGAACAGATTCATGGAGACACACAAAGACTTAGACACAGGTGTAGGTGTTAGTTAAATAGCAACAAATTATTGATTGTGTGCAGTTTATGGCGATCAGACTGAGACCATCATCTTACTACATTAGAGAACCTGGTTTAATCATGAGCTGCTCAAACCCAGATCCGAACCGGCAATCACAGGAGTGCCAGCTCATAAATCTGACCTCGAGCCACCCCAGGCATTGACAATTAAATTGTGACCCTGATTTGTGACGGTTGAATTTTGGTACAGTATTGATAAATCATAAAATAATTCTTCTTTGGTTCTTTCGGTTAAGTCACGTCTAAAGATAAAATAATAAATTAAAATAATAGCAAATTAAGGTCGAGCTCCCTTCAGTTTTAATTGTTTTAGAAAAGACTATTAAGTGTTGCTTATTAAATTAAGGTGTCAAACCAAATAGATGATACACAATGTTTAATTCCACATCTTCTTTATACTGTTATGATATTTGAATGGTAGTCAACACAATTAAAACACAAACTGCTATCTTCCCACACAACAATTAACTGTTGTATAATCACAGTCGTACAGTATGTTGGTAAATGGTAAAGGAGGCATCATCGCTAGAGGCCAAACTATACACTGAAAATATTACACTCCAAACAATAGCTACCATGACAAAGACTAGGCAGTACATAAAAGTACATGTTTTAAATGCATGATTCATTTTAAAATATAAATACTGCAACATAACCTCAACATTTTCCAGGAACACGACAAAAATATTAAATAACTTGTGGGTGGGTTCTTGCCTGTACGAGTGAGACTCTTATTTACTGATGTGATTGACCATGACAAAGTATTACCACAGGACTATGATGTCCCATTTTTGTGTTTGGTTAAGCAATGAGATGGATTGTGGCATCATAGGACTGAGAACAATGATGACTGCATGTAAAGACCTTTATCCAGTAGTGTATAGACTATGGCTGACAATAACTCTAATCTAGGTGTGCTGACAGAATTCAGCTTATGTAAGTAACATCACTCCCTACATGAATGAAATCTCTTGGCCCATTCAAAGTGGATAACATAAAATTATGTTTAAATAAAATATAATTGTGAGAAATGTGGGTTTATAACAAATTACTACAGGCCATGTTTTTATTTTATTTTACTCAATTCAGGCCTTTGTATACATGGGTATTGTACATTATGGCCAAGAACTATATAATTTATGAAATTGGTATGTCATAACTTGGAAAGCTGCATGATGGATCTTGGCCTGACCATCTTTTCGATCAAAAGAGAGGTATTTTATTTTGACTGTGAGCATGCATAAGTGTATGGCTCAGTTCTATGGAAGGAAATCATGCTGTGTGGAGAAGTGTTTGATGGATGTGGAGATAAAGGGACTTCTTTGTCAACAGCTGCAGTTTCTTTCTCCGGTAGTCAGTTGGCTTCTTGTACCTTTCATAAACAAAATTAACATGTTTGTCAACAAAGTATTATAACCACAGTGGCTCACTGTTAACGACTCACTGCAATAGATACGGCTAAAGGATAATGTACATTTCCAATTCAGCAGGCAGAAAATGCAGGATGTGACAGGCCCATAAAAATGGTATTATTACTTTCCCTTCATATCTCAAAATGTTATAGAGCATATCATGGCAGTTATGCCAAAAATGTAAAGTCAGTTTCATGAACTTGTTTGGATAGACAGGTAAAGTAGTGCTTAAATTGAACCATTGCTTCCTTTTTTATGTTGAAATTAATAAAACCCCATATTTCTGGCAGCCTACACAGACACGACAAATGTGATGTCCTGGAGGGTGTGATTGTTAATGGGCTCACAGCTCGATGACGGCAGCTCCAGGCCGGATCTCATCCATTTCAAGCAAGGCAAAACACTTCGTGCTTGTCAGGCGTTTTAAGGGCTTATAGTGTTTTAATTCAAAGAAGATGGCAGCATCTGAATGAGATATCAGAAAGCAAATGTGACATATGATGTGCAATATCACTCACTATAACATTACAATTCCCTTACAACACAGCATATGTTTAAAGCAAATTACTGCACCACCACTAAACACTTTTTAAAACTAAGGAATGAGAACACATGACTGGAAATATAGATCTTAAAAAGTGATTGGACTCCAAATAAAACTGATTTATTAATAAACAGAAACAAATTAACTTATATATAAATATGGCTTGTGTGAGCAATCAGGTACTGTACAGGAAAGTTTTGGTCATTGATCAATATTATATAACTGCAATGTGATGGTACCTGTTGGAATGTCTTCAACTGGCAATTGTATTTCAACATCCACTTGGAAATTCAAACATGTTCCTTGCAGATTAACAGCAAATGGTGTATCTTGTGATGTAGTCAACTCTGTTCCACACACATCTATAAAAGTAGTGAAATATTAATTGTGCTAAAATGGAATACCTGTATTGCATTCTTCAATACTGTTTTCAAGTGACTGGCCACACAAATTACCATCATTAAAGTACTGTACTACATATAGACAATTCAGATATTCAAATGACATCTACAATTTTAAGTTGAATCTAATTGATTAAAATGACCCTCGAGCTAATTCAACATTGCTTTTACAAATGGACACGATAAACGTTGCAAATAAAACCAGATGTTTGTGTTGGAATGTTTATCATTGATATAAAAAAGCGCTCCACAATATTCTCCCTCATAACGTTCAAGTCAATATTTGTTGTTAAAAGTAATGTTAATACCGTTATGCCATCCCATAGTAAACTAAATGTAATCACCCATTGCTCAATTAGCTCTCTGTAGAATTTCAGAGGAAGGCCATTTCCCCCCTTCCACCATCCCTGAAACCCATGTGAGCTGAGCATAAGCACCACCTCGGACTGTGATCGTGATGTAAGGATCCACACAGAGGGCTGCGTCCTTCAAGCCAATGTTCACAATCTTGATGGTCAGCAATGTCCTGCCATGCTTGGGCTTGAGGCGTGGCAATAAAGTCCCTGTAATAAAGTTGCAATTCATCAGGTGGCCACTGATTTCTTAAAAATTAATATGCAATACTCATTACCACTACAGTACGCTATACATAAGTTATTAGGTCCTGTATTGTCATGATTCAGTCATGATTCGATTCAATAAAAAATACTTGTCAAATTTTTATGACCTCGTTTTAATTGTGTCTCAGTTGTAGTCTAAATGTCACAGCAAATAATTTGCATGTTATTTGTACAGTGCAAGTTAAAACTTTATTACATTGTGTTAATTATAAATGACTAGCAGGAAAAATATATTTCAAAACTTCTCTTAAAAACATAACGTAAACATACACAAATACTAAGCTATTGTAAAAGCCCGGCATGTAATTTGTCTGTCCATTTGTCCGTCAACAAAATTATAAGAGGCTTGCAGAAGTCCAAATAGTTAAAGAAAGTGGGGGGTAAATAGGTGATCTAAAAGGTTTCTGAAAATTGTCGACCCTCCCCCCTCAAAAATGTTTTTTACACTCGCCATATATACCTACACACCCTACATACAATAGAGTGAGTCGTATCTAGTGACTCTATAGTAGTATCTGACTCTACAGTAGTATCTGACTCTACAGTAGTATCGACTGACTATAGTAGTATCTACTGACTCTGTAGTTGTATCTACTGACTGAACAGCAGCATCTACTGAGCCCAGTAGTATCTACCCACTCTATAGTAGTATCTGCTGACTCTATAAGCAGTATCTACTGACTATAGTAGTATCTACCGACTCTATAGTAGTATCTACCGACCCTATAGTAGTATCTACTGACTATAGTAGTATCCACTGACTATTGTCGTTACTAACTCTACAGTAGTAACTACTGATTCTATAGTAGTTTCTACTCACTGTAGTAGTATTTACTGTGAGCAGTAGTATCTACTAACTATACAGTAGTATCTACTGACTCTATAGTAGTAGCTACTGGCCGTAGTAGTATCTACTGACGGTATAGTAGTATCTACTGTAGTAGTATCTACTGACTATAGCAGTATTTACTGACCGTAGTGGTATCTACTGACTGTAGTAGTATCAACTGACTCTATAGTAGTATTGACCGACTCGATAGCAGTATCTACGATCACTACAGTAGTATATACTGACTGTAGTAGTATGTAATAATTCTACAGTAGTATTTACCGATTTGATAGCAGTATCTACTATCAAATTATTGGTTATTTCGGTAAAGTCACGTAGAAAGAAAAGAAAATACAATTTAAAAAATATTAATTCCTGTAGTCACGAAAGTTAAGTAAAAATTTTGAGTAAAAATGTATCTACTAATCACTACAGCAGTTTATACTGACTAGTAGTATCTGCTATCACTACAGCAATGTATACTGACTGTAGTATCTATCACGACAGTAGTATATACTATGGCAGTATATATCGACTTTATAGCACTGCTAAACACACCCCCCTCTCCACTGCCCGATCTCGCTCTACAGTAATAGTATCTAAGGACTATAGTAGTAGTGTCTACCGACCCTATAGTAGTAAATGCACACATTGGGGTGGGGAGAAGAGGACATCACTCTGTGAAGAATTTACTATACAGTAGTATCCACCTACTCTACAGTAGTATCTACCTACTCTATAGTCTTATATACCGACTCTATAACAGTATATATCGACTCTATAATATTAACTAATAACTTCACAGAGTGTCGTGGTGAGGCCTAGTCCCGTGCAAAGCCCCCGGCCTCGTCTAGATTGCCCAGCTGGCCGAGGTGGCACCTTTACAGGCTGGGGCTGGGCTGCTACCCCCCCCCCCCCACTATCCCCCTGCCCGCTCTACAGTAATAGTATAGTAGTAAATGCAGATATTGGGGTGGGGGGAGAAAAGGACATCACACTGTGAAGAATTTACCTCGGCATTGTGTATTTTTTTGCATTTTTAACGCGAATGAAAATTGCCCCCTCCCCCCAACGATTGCGTGTGTGCGTTGCGAGGGCAACCACCACCACGAGCTGGCGTAACTCGGCGCATGCTCAGATGCGTGCTCTGGTGCCACCCTGTGCTTATAAAAGGAAAAAATTGTTCATTTAACTACTTTAAAGTTGAAAGATGTGAAATACTAAGAGCGCTTTTGCATCCCGGGGCATACGGCATGGTATCCGTCAGGGGCGGTTTCTTCATTAGGGCGATTGGGCGACGCACCACCAATGTCATTCAACCACAGAGTTACGCTAGCCGTTATTGTGCCTCTGGATATAGTCCAATCAGCGTCATGTCATGTTCTGTGGAGTACCGCCTCTTTTTGGGCGATTTCACTCTGGCTGAGAATCGTCCAGAGTGTTCCCATAGACTTACATTCAAAGATGTTTTTTTTCGAACGGCGGGCGCTCCAATGCATTCTCTATGGCTTCCGGGAGGGCTCGCACTAACGTGCTTACGTCATCATACGTAAGCACGTTTCAGTCAACAATATTATTTGTCGCCACCTAGTGGAATCTTTAATACAATAAACTGAGTGGATTGTAATAATAGTGAGTATAGAAACAAACAAGATGTATTGTAAGAGTCACTTTATTTTTCATTAATATTAAAGAAGTGAAGTTGCCTTTACATGCTTAAGCTGTTAATTTATCCATTGCATGGGTGGACCTTATCTTTATCAATCATCCAGACATTTGCCCCCCCTGAGAGATTTTGCAGGAGCCGCCACTGGTATCCGTGTACTTTTTTGATACGTAAACCCCACAGTTTGTCAGTTAAAGACGTCTTAAGGTACCCGTGCAGACAGACAAAAATTTACTTTTAAAGGTAAGATACTATAGTAAACTATTTTGTGTCATGCAAAAGGTGATGCATATAAGCTGAAAGAACTTACCATCTCGATTTCCTATATCAGGCAGCAGAGAATACATAATTAATAAACATGTTAAAACAGTTTGAATATTGAAATATTGTGATAACATACAGTAATTATTATGTAGACATATGCTACATACATTATATGTTATATATGCCATTTGCTATGACATGAATCGTAAATATGGACAATAAAAATGGAACAAAAGTGGAAAAGTGTGCAAAGAAGCATGGAGAGGCACATGCTTGGAATTACACTTACAGAAAAAGGGATACTGAAATTACAGTGTGAATGAGACATTGACTCTTCTTGGTTCTTTCGGTAAAGTCACTTGGAAGGGAAGTAATAAAATAATAAAAATAAAACATAATAAAATAATTCTCACGACGTTTCGGCCACAACACAAGCAGCCGTCCTCAGGTAGAGAACAGACCTGTTCTCCATCTGAGGACGGCTGTTCTCCACCTGAGGACGGCTGCTTGCGTTGTGGCCGAAACGTCGTGAGAATAATTTTATTATGTTTTATTTTTTATTATTTTATTACTTCCCTTCTACGTGACTTTACCGAAAGAACCAAAAAGATGAATCCCTGCAGTCACGAAAGCTTTAAAGAGACATTGACTGTTAATAAAAGTGGGTTTGGGCTGGACATGATTGTAAGAAAGGATGATGACCGGTGGTAAGAGACTTGACAGAGTGGCAGCCAAAGGAGGTAACATGCACAAAAATACAATGCTCCATAATAAAATTATGGATTGTTGCATCGTGGGAGCATAAGCGATGGCGGTGGCTTAGAAAGTCCTTTATTCAGCAGTGGATGGATCATGGCTGGTGATGATGTCGGACATAAATTATATACTGTCTTTGGCTGCCAATCCTCAAACAATGTGAAATATTGCATTGCAATACTATGGGTACACATGACTGGAGCAATGCAGAATATAGTACTCCATCATTAAACTATTTTATGACATTTTCTCTGAAATCTGGTTCTAAAGGTTCAGTTTCGTTTAAAATGGACATCTTTAGGAACTGAATGCATATGTCCTCGTTTTAGAAGAGGAAACCATCTCAATTACAGCAAAATAACAGTTGTAGAACAGTATTGGTTAATGGAGTACGGGTACCTGATATTCTCGGAGAGTCCAGTTTCTTAGGAGCTTTAGGCTTAGGTAACTTTCTGTTGAAATGCAATAACAAATATTTACATGTTTAAGTTTATCCAATTTAGTAGAATATAAAACTAAACCATACTGTAATAATATACCCTCGTCCATTAATCAGCATGTTATAAAACAACTTACATATTGTTAATCCACATGCAACATTTCACTAAAATTTAGTTGAACATTATACAGTACATACAATTCACAAAGCTAGGTGAAGGTTGTTTACAAGGAGGCTGTGGTATGTTTTGAAGGAATATGGTACAGGTGCATGTGGCTTTATGTCCAAATATTGTGTGGTATACAGTTTAATGGCTGGATCAAAGTCTCAAACTTGTTAATATTCAATTCGAGTGTGATGTATGAAGCCCTTAAACTAGCCAACTATTGACTGCATTGTGCTTACTTTGCAGAAAGAGGCGTCACGTCAAATGGAAAATCTTGACATGGGAGCATGATGTTCTGCAAAACTAAATATATTTTGTATCAAAGTACATTCTTAAATATAAAACGTATGCATTCCAATCATATTCCTATTATGTCGTTTACATGATTAATGTACAGTTAATGTACCTTTATCTTCCCGCAATATTCCACGTTTGGAATGTTGTGGTAGCACAGGATAAGCAATGCAGAAGTCCAGAAGATAACATGGCAGGTAAATGTTGTAGATATGATTATACAACAATAGTAGCAGGTGGTATGTATACAGGATGGGGGGGGGGGGCGATTGTCTGGACAGAAATTGGAATTGTCTTCAAGATTATGGTGACAAAGGGAAATAAATTGGAGGTTGCATTCTACTGTGCAACCGCTGCTATCAGCATCATGTAATGGGATGACATTCCCATCCTTAATTCTCACAGCTAACAGAGCACCACCTTGTGAAAGATGCCATTACATAACTATGCCTTTTGATTCACACTAGAGGCACACCTTTTGTGAGCCCTACATATATTATGTAGGTTTTTTTAAAAACAAAATGTTTAATTCACAGAGCTATAATAAGTTTAAATGTACTTATTAGATGTGGTCTGTGTGGTCGTTGGTGACTGGGTTGACTGCCACCGTCAATTCAATGCACTTGAGAAGATACTTTAATCACAGCTGGTTGTCGAGATGGAAACCCAGGTAGTCAGTCCAAGAGCCAAGGCCAGGTACTTCACTTGTCATTATATACACTAGAGATGGCATCACTTTAGCGGTTCCAATTTCTTTATCTGGTCAGTAACAGTGAATTGTGTGATGACTACAATATTTCATATGAATGGGTTATCAAATCATTCGTATGAGCCAAATAAACGAATTGGCACGAAAGATATCCTGATATGCTTCCAACCTTAGGTGATACTGATTTCTGCTCTGGTCCATAGACTAAGGATATCAGAAATGTCAGCTTAGTGCTCTAAGGTGGCACTGTATTAACCACCTGAGGTATCATACCATATCTGCAGTCAACAATATTCTAAAGTGTAATCCTCGCTTTGGTTTGCAGTTGAAATCTTGATTGATGACATACACTAAAGGTAGGTCATATCAATGTTATATTATGTATGCTGGAGTAAAATGGAATTTAATTGAGTCGACATTTTTTTGTATCAATACATACCTAAGTATATTTGCTCCAGTTGTTCTAACAGGAAGGCATTTTCTAAATCTGGAGACTGAACAAAGCAATCAAAACAAGCATGATAAATTTATATTTGTATGCGTTGCACTTTTCAGTTATGTGATTGTATGAACTGCTGACATTAAAAAAAGTTATTGTCTTTACCGCTCACCTGTAGGGACTTTATACGCAGTTCCAGACAAGCAGCAATTTTTCTTAAGGTAATCTAGTAAAGTGGATGAATCATAAGATGTCAACAACTGCAATGTAATTTAATTAAAAAAGTATATACATTAAATGCTGTAACAACCACAACCGTCCATCTTACACTTTTAGATGTTGTTTTTAATAGATCATACTTCCATGCTTCCAAACATAATATCTTGGATACAATATAAAGCAATCTAATTCGAAAGTTCAAACTTTTCACGGAAGCCACACACATATGTGCCTTACCTTTTGGTCATCACTGAACAGCGAGAGCATTTTTGGTTGCTGAGCCTCGTGCATCATTTCTTCCACAAGCCTGAACAATTGCAAATAAAAAAATCTTAATACAAAGAAACAATTGGATGTTAACCACATGTATAATATTAGTATTTTATTGTCAATGTGTAAGCATGCTTGAATATTTGGGACAACTGACAACATATGCATTGCCACAACAAGCAGGATTCAAGACTTGATGTTAGCGAAATTACTGTCCTGCACTTTATCGCCATAATAAAAAAAAGTCACGTTAGGAGTATTGTACTCTATAAAAATGCAATGTCATTATGGTGAGGTTTAGTATGCGGCTACATGCAATATACATAGCTTAATCTTAGATTGAATGACAATGTCATAAAAATTCAGTAATGTATTATATTAAACCAAATACTAGTGGGACTACAGTTGGAGATGCTTTGCATTACAGTACGTATATAAAAATATAGGTGTTAAATGCAATATTGTAAAATCAGTACCGTAATATCCAAGTCTTTACATCTATGTGAAACTGTCATCCATATTCAAGCGATAACATTTTCAAGTGTATTTTGTGTTGATCCCTTAGATAATTATCATTGCGCACTGTACCGTTCATATGCATTCATCGCTTCCACAAGTTGACCCCATGAGTCCAGGTCCATCCCTTTCTTAAGTGTTCCGAGCCACATCATAATAGTGGCATCCGCATTTATTTTCCCCACGTTACTCTCCATGCTGCCGCAACTTAAGGTGTCAAGGTGCAGACTACGCTGTAGTATGTGGTCAGGTGAAAAGGCTAAAGTGTTTGGTGTACGGCTTGGCTACCTGGCAACCAAGTACACTAAATCGTGATGCAATAGTACTCGTCTAAAATGTCACGTGGAAACACTGGCTCCCGTGTCCTTTTACACCAGCAACTTTTATTGTGCTGATGGTTACATTATTTAAAACTAATGCTGTAAAAAAGATTAAGTAACAATGTGTTCTCATAATGTAGTGGTCATTCTATGAATACGCACATACATAAACACATAAAGCCACAGTTCAAACTATGTTTTGTTAATGCCAAATAGCCTTTATTGTTTGACCACCAGCATTACCAGACCAACATTAAAACAATTGTGAAATACCGTCTCTATTTAATAGTATAGCTGTTAAACACACACAGTTTAGCCCATTAAAAGGACGCAAATTTGGAGAAATTATTATTTATCAGATCATTTCGTTGTGATGTGTACATGAAAACTAATTATGGTAACTTATGCCAGGCTGGATTGCATGCTGGGGGTAGTTTTAAGATGGTGTGTTCCGTTTGGGATTAGATGACATAGAGAATATTGGATGCCAAGCTGCAGGTGAGCCCAGTTCCATCAGACTCAATGAGCAAATTTCTCACTACACCATTCTTCAGCAGCATGGAGTACATGTGAAACACAGGCCAATACAGTATATGAAACAACAGACTGGGTCTGGGCTCCACCTGCTAGAAATTTTAAATCCTCTATACCATGTACTGCCAACTATCCACCAAAAACGGAGAAAATTTAAGTTCTACCCAACAGCAAATTCAACTTAATAGTTTATGGAGGTAAATAAATACTGAGTGAAAAACTACTATTTTCACTCAGAATCGTTTAGCTGTACCTGGTGTGGGTATTCTGATATCACTTTCTGCCCAAAAGAGTCTAAAGTTAACCCATTTCTCCATTGCATGATATACCAGTCAAGACTTCAAAAAATATAAAATGGAAATCCCTTCTTGAAGATGACAGTAGACGTTATCACCTGCCTCAGCTATACAATCTTGATGCTAAATTAATTGTATTTTTCATCTGCCATTTTTTTTTATTTTGTAACAATATTTGGTGTTAAGTCGGTAGCAGTTCTTGATGATTACATACAAAAGTATTTCCACTTTCATTGAAGACGGCTTATGATATGCATAAAGAACAAAGTGGCCACTCACCTCGTGGAACGTTTGCCTCCCATCATGGCAGCCAGATTTGGATTATCTAGCACAAGGCCAAGAGAGCCTATCATAGAAGCAGAAACAATTAATCCTAATAATAAAATGCACCAACAAGTTGCAATGAAGTGTCGAATTATATACATATTTAAAAATACTGTATATTTAACGGCACAGACGGGATGCATAAAGCCACAACCAAAACGCTCTTACTCTTGATAAAATGCAAGCATTTCCGTTGATGTTTTGCAATTACCTCTGCAAGGACTCCGGTGGGGTCTGCCACCATTCACACCGAAACATAAGCAGACTAGTTGAACAATCTGAGCATCATTTATAGCCAAGTCATTCATTATTAGTGATGGGAAGGTTTATTAAAATATATTAAACATTGATTATTGTTCCACAACAAATATAAAAACCCATGCCTCTAGAGAACAATACAGAACATATTTTGTAACCTTAACAAAAAAATGTGATTGATGACTCAAAGTGTGGTCCTTTGGGTAATTAGAAAATTGGATGTGCATGTTATTTCACATTTGCAATACGTTAATGACCACTCCTATTCGATGGAAATCTGCTTATTTTCAAGTAAATGGGTAATATAATGCTGCAGACTACACGAGAGGATTTTGTGTGCTCCAGTTCATACCTTGCCATCAGCATGGTTGGCCTGGCCCCAGGCACATATCACGAAGAGGTCATTGACAGAAACACAGGCAATCACCTTCATGCCTTTCCCTTTCAGCTCATCTGCTTTACCTGGTAAAATAACGTAAAAAAGTTTAGTTTAATTTTACAAAGCTGGGCAAGTGAGCCTGTCAGAATACAGAGATAGTTGTTGGATGCAAGCAAAAGTATAACAGTAATTGTACAAAAGGCAAATACAGTACAATATAAATCCAAAGGGTTAACACCTCCGGTGCCAGAGCTTTCATTAAATTAGTATGTGAGAAAGCTGAGTATTAATTAAAAGAACACAAACTCGGAACACCCAGGGGTGATGTCTCTTGGGACTCCTAACTGGATGCCAGTCTTTTCAGCGAACAACTCTGCCACGTTCACCTCGTTTGAGGGCTCGCCTTCAAATACCACCAGGTTTTCCCCAACCTTGGTAACAGACCTACAAACAACATGCAGGTTCCACTTCATGCCCTCACGCTTTATCAAAAACTACCAAAGGATATAGTTGAAAGGAAATAAACACAATACACATGACCCTCTGTCTGTATTTTTACGACAGAATATTTGGAAAGCGCGGACGGTGCGACCCACAAGGCTGGGGGTTGCAAAGGTGGCGTGGTGGGCGCACTTGGGCTTCACGACTCATGCTCCTCTTCACGTGTTTCACGGGTTTGTTTGCAGTGCATGTGGTGACTGCAATGAGCAGATGTATTTGTTCCCATTATTTATAAGCCCACGGAACTGCTCAATACAATTACTGTCCACTTCCTCAATGTGCAATGTATGCCATACTTTGCACAATTTTGGGACTTTAACTTGAAAGGTTCAAAAGTTGAATCATGGCACACAATAATTGGTTGCATGTTGCATTTTGTTTTGCTTCCAATATCTTTGGGCGATGTTTGATAACGTATTGATTACAATCTTTACACAATAATGTTTGATAGTGTTTAAAACTACTTCATATATGAATGAGACAGTCTGCTTATCTATTTTGTATATACTGTAAAATTTGCAGTTGCTGTCATGTCTGTATCTTCCTCTACGCTGCAGTTTAATATGAAGCATGAACATCAGGTGACACGGGATTAAGTATTTTAACAGCGCTTGCCAATTTTGAGATTCGGTTCTTCTTTAAACACCACCGTGAGACCCGTGGCCTGTGGAAATATGTAATATGAGCATTACACATTTACGGTTTTACATTTCATTGTATTTTAAACTGAAAACTGTGATAACATTCAGTATTAAAGGTCTTGACCTCTAACACTTATTTTTTCAACAGTATGCACTTAATAATGTAGAAGCTACAATATATTTCACTCGACCCAATTCTGTCAGGCTTGTATGTAATGATGGCCCGCATCCAGCAGTAGCTTGGCACACGAACAATTCTGCTCTGAACTGAATTTGTATTTTTAGTAGGGATTAAGGGTAAATTACCCTTTGTATTTTTTTATGGACAAAACATTAACATATATATGCGATTTAGATTTTATTTTCCAAGACAAAAGTTTTACAAAAATAAGTGTGATAAATGGCATCACAAAAACTCACTTCAATAGGCATTTTGGTAGTTTATGTCCTGTTGCACTGGTCTCACTGCAGTTCTGCACATCGTCACGTTTACACCACAGCCAGGTATGAGAGCACTGACACGGATATAATTCTAGATACAGCCAACACAAGACTACAGCTGGGATAACATACGTGAGGCGTGTGTGGATGGGTAAAACTATCTGCATGCGTGGGGGAGTTTTGGAAAAGATTTTGGCAAAACTAGCACAAAACACTCTTTTGCCTCATTCAAAGCTCTGCGCGACTGCAATTGGTATTGATGGAACTATCCACGATGTCGTTTGTGGTGTTAAAGAGGTTAGTGTTTGTAAAGTGGAGTGTTTAAAATCCCACCGCCCTTTGAGCTGGTTTCTTCCCATTGCAAGCCTTTGTTTATTTTACAGGAGTGGCAGCAGCCAATGAAGTTGTCTACTGATGGATGTCCCCCCAGCCACTTGCCCATTGAGGGTTGATGTAATACGTCAAGCATATGTCAGACACATACTCAAACGGTTACACAGGCGCAGCCAAACCTTTCTTTTACTGTTCAAACTATATTTAGTGATTTGCATGCGGCTCGTTATAAAAACTGTAAAAAGAAACAATGACTTGATTTGTCGTTATTCCTTTAAAACACATTTTAATTTACTGCATAGTGCTTCAGCCAACGACTGCATAGTGCTTCAGCCAACGACTTCCTAAAGTGAATGCATTGGGGACAATTGACTGTATTTAGAATCAATTACATCCACCCATGGGAACCGAATTAAGGAATACAGCTTCCATCACTATAACTACAGTAAAGTACAATTTTTTTAAAAGTAAAAACTTTCATCCACCGTGATTATATTTACATAATACTGTAATTGAGCCTGATACCATGCATGTTTTACACAATATTAAGTTCAGATGAAGCTACACACATATGTAGTCATGCTTTGTGTGCACACTGATGTGAGCACCATAATGCAGCAACATCCGTGGCACACTAATTCGATGCTCCCACATGGATGCTCCTTGCCTTTACCAACCCGCACTGACCAACGCGGTGTATGGAGGGCCTTGATCCAGCAGTGGATTGACAAAGGGCTGTGCATCTATATGTACCAAAAGTTTAACAAAAAATCATTGGCGAGGCAGATTTACCCAGGGCTTAATTTATGCCGGGTCTGTCTAGGTATGTCTGCACCTGACACACCACATCAAGAATACCTCTTCTATGGCTGTGCCTATCAGCCACGTGCCTCATGAGAACGTAAGCCCTAGATGACCTACACAACATTGAAAATATGGTTAGAAGTACTGTATTGTTTCTGCACATCACGTGCAAACGTTGCAAACATCACTTTTGCAGTGCTTTAAAGGTTCGTAACCAAAGAAAATATATTAAGAAAAATTCCAAATTTAAACTAACGCCAAGTACCACGTGGCCTAACGTTCAGGTAGTTAAATACTGGACTGTATATGCATTTCCCCACAAATACAATACAACTACCGGTATTTGTATGCATGCAAAAGTACTTAGTGGACATTGGGCAATTATTGTTAACCGTAGCTGATGTTGCCTGCCAGCTTGCAAAATAAGCCCTGGGAAAGCTTTGAAGATGACACCACAATTTAGCAATACGGTAAGTGCAATAAAAAAACAGGGTGAATCATGTTGCCTTTACACTGTGCTGTCAGTATCCCTGTTAACCCACACGGTTTACTGCTAATGCTGTGCAGGGAAATTGAGTTTACAGGTCCATACGGTGTACAGCCGTTTGAATTCGGGCAAAAAAACACGTTTTGTCTATTAGTTTGTGTTTCTCCCCTATGATGGGATTTTGTAGGATGAACGTTGAGATTTATAAGGTCACGGGGTGACCAATACGGTCTGAATTGGTCTGTAATAAGGTAGGCACTAATAAGGGGTTGACAATGATGTGTATGTATGTCTTAAGTGGTTAAGGATACGCAGCACTGTACATGTCTTTAATCGAGCTTTCACATGCATTAAACCACTTCAAGTCATGTATAGATCTTATTTCATGCGAACTATGCGACACGATAATATTCATTCCGTTGTAAGTTAAATCAATGTACAATCTCTGCCAACGCTACGCCCAAGATCAATATGACGAGTCATCCATTTAACAAATCCGCAAAAGAATAGCATAATGGTTGACCTTTAGGCATTAGCGTATTCTCACGTGCAGTTTAGTTACATAACTGAGTACATATGGTAAAATTAGATAATACTTTATTTACAGTACATACTGTTGCATAGCTGTCAACCCCGTATCAGTACCTATCTTATTACAGAACAATTCAGACCTTATTGGTCACCCCCTGCCCTAAAAATGTCAACGTTCATCCTACAAAATCCCATCACATCGGAGAAACACAGACAAAACACATGTTTTTTTTTACACATTTAAACGTCTGTACGCAGTATGGACCTGAAAACTCAATTTCCCTGTACAATAATACGGGTAAACTGTATGGGTTAACAGGTATGCGGTTGTACATTTGCTATTGAATACGTCTGTTGTCCAGCATAACGTGTGGCCAATTTTTACGGTAGAATATAACGCAAGTCTTTATATTGTACATTTCTGCAAAACGTGTTTTTCTACTTTTATAAAGCGGAACCAAAATATTGACAAATGTTGCAGTGAAGCTTGAAAGGCCATCGGATGAAGGGAGGCAGAATAGCCAGCCGTTATCGGAGTAGAAATATACT